ATTTAGCCACATGATCTGCTACTTGTTTCTTCATGCCTTTCCACCAATACAACTCTTTCAAATCTAGATACATTTTGGTAGCACCTGGGTGGATAGAGTACCTCGAACTGTGAGCTTCTTCCATTATGGCCTTCCTAAGACCACCTACATCAGGCACACATAACCGATCATTAAACTTCAAAACTCCATCACTTCCTTGAGTGAAAGCAGTGATTTCTTTGTTTCTGACTCCTTCTTTTAATTTCACTAAGTACGGATCTTCGTCTTGCTTAGCCTTAACATGCGCAACAAGGGAGGATTGCGCTAAGGCATAAGCAGTTATATCTCCTTCTTCGGTCTCATCCAATCTAATTCCATCATTTGCTAGTTTTTGAATTTCTCGACCCAAAGATCGCCTTTGTTCTGCAAGATGGGCCAAAACGCCCATTGACTTCCTACTAAGTGCATCTGCTACCACATTAGCTTTGCCCGGGTGATAAAGGATATTGATGTCATAATCTTTCAATAGCTCGAGCCACCTTCTCTGTCTCAAATTTAGTTCTTTTTGCTTGAAAATGTACTGGAGGCTTTTGTGGTCTGTAAACACTTTAGAATGCTTTCCATAAAGGTAATGTCGACATATCTTTAATGCAAACACCACTGCTACGAGCTCTAAGTCGTGTGTGGGATAGTTCTTTTCATGATTCTTTAACTGCCTGGAAGCATAAGCAATAACTTTTCCATTTTGCATAAGAATACAACCAAGGCCCACTCTGGAGGCATCACAATACATTGTGAACCCACCCAAACCTGTCGGCAAGGTTAATACAGGTGCAGTGGTCAACCTCTTCTTTAACTCTTGAAAACTCTGCTCACAAGCGTCTGACCATTGGAACTTAACTACTTTCTGAGTCAACTTGGTTAATGGAGCTGCAAGTAAGGAAAACCCCTCTACAAACCTTCTATAGTAGCCAGCTAACCCCAAGAAACTCCTGATTTCGGTTGGCGTTGTCGGCCTAGGCCAGTTCTTGACTGCTTCTGTCTTCTGAGGGTCTACTTTTATTCCTTCACTAGATACCACGTGGCCTAAGAATGCCACTGACTCCAACCAGAACTCACATTTTGAAAACTTGGCATAAAGCTCATTTTCCTTCAAGGTCTGCAAGGCTATTCTAAGGTGTTCTGCATGATCTTCCTTACTCTTAGAGTACACCAAAATATCATCTATAAACACAATAATAAAGGTATCCAGGAATGGTTTGAAAACTCTGTTCATGAGCTCCATGAATGCCGCTGGGGTATTTGTCAACCCGAAGGACATCACTAGAAATTCATAGTGCCCGTAGCGAGTTCTAAAGGCTGATTTAGATATATCTTTTTCCCTGATTCTCAATTGATGGTACCCCGACCTCAAGTCTATTTTTGAAAAGTACTTTGCACCCTGAAGTTGATCAAATAAATCATCAATTCTTGGCAGTGGGTACTTATTTTTAATGGTAACTTTATTCAACTGCCAATAATCGACACACATTCTGAGAGACCCATCTTTCTTCTTTACAAACAGGATCGGGGCACCCCACCGGTGAAACACTCGGTTTGATGAAACCCTTGTCAAGAAGGTCTTTCAACTGTTCTCTCAACTCATTAAGTTCTGCTGGAGCCATCCTATAAGGAGGTATTAGATATGGGCTGAGTTCCTGGCATGAGATCAATGCCAAAGTCTATGATTATTTCGGGAGGAAGTCCGGGAAGGTCATCTGGGAAAACTTCTGGAAATTCTCTAACAATTGGCACTGACTGAAGAGCTGGTGGTTCTGATTCTGGATTAATAATGTGAGCCAAATAGGCGAGACACCCCTTACCGATCATTCGTTGTGCCTAAAGGTAAAAAGTAAACTTACCTACAAGCGATGCTGAACTACCCTTCCACTCTAAGACTTTTTCATTTGGAAATTGGAACCTGACTATCTTAGCATGACAATCTAACATGGCATAGCAGGAAGACAACCAATCCATACCCATGATCACATCAAAATCCACCATTTCTAACTCTATGAGATCGGCTTTGGTGTTGCGACCTTGGACTGAAACTATACAACCTCTATAGACTCTGGTGACTTTCACTACTCGCCAATTGGAGTAGATACTAGGAATGGCTCACTAAGTTGTTCAGGTTCTAGTCCGAGGTTAATTGCAAAGTATGGAGTCACATATGAAAATGTTGAACCTGGATCCATTATGGCATAAGCATTATGTGAGCAGACTAAAAGTATACCTGTAATAACTTCTGCAGATGCCTCTGCACTCTGACGATCAAGTGTAGCAAACAAACGGGGTTGTCCCCCTCCCTGAGTAACTCGGTCTGCACTTCCGCCTACTCCATGCCCGATCTGATTATGAGAACCATGAGCCTGAGGTGGTACAACTGCAGTAGCTGAGGAACTAGAAGGACGAGTTGGTCCACCACTGAGATTACGTTGTAACTTTGGGTAGTTGGCCTTTATATGACCAATGTCTCCACAATGGTAGCAACCATGAAACCCGAGCTTGCACTGACCTGAATGTTGCCGCTTACATGTTCTACAAAGACTTTGCTGGTGTGAATGTTGCTCAGCATGATTCTGGCTATGTGAGGATGATGTCATAAAATTCTGATTCTGGCGAGACTGATTTCCATTACTCTGAGTACGTCTGAAGGAAGACCCACCACCTGACTGATGACTGAACTGAGTTGGTGCTAATGACTCCTTATTAGAGGAATCCCTTCCACCTCCGCTGGATGTACCATTAAACCTGCCCGTTGTACGGGCTTTCTTGTTAAGCTCTTTTTCTTCTCTCCTTAGTTGTCTGTATTTCTCTAAGTTCTTGGCAAATCCCACAACAGAGGAGAAGGCTTCCATCCCTACTGCTGCAGCTGATGTCGTATCCTTAATGTGGTAAGCTAAACTGCCCACAAACCTGCAAATCTTTGCTTTTTCAGTCTTAACCATGTGAGGAGCATGCTTAGCTAACCTTATGAATTCCATGTAGTACTCTTGCACACTTTTATTCCCTTGCTTGAGCTGTTCGAACTCTGTAGCCTTAGCTTCCCTATCCTCTTCTGGGATAAAGTTAGCCATGAAGGTCTCTTCAAATTCTTCCCAAGTAGGCGGACCATCATCTTCATCTCTTTCCTTTTCCCATATCTCAAACCAAGCGCTGGCCACATCTCTAAGCTGGTAAGCAGCTAGCTCTACAGCTTCATCATCAAATGCTTTCATCACTCGGAGGGCTTTCTTGACACCCTCCAGCCACAACATCGGATCTTCATCAGCTATAGAACCATGGAACACTGGAGGACTCAACTTCAAAAATTCATTCACTCTTGAGGACTCAGAATTGCTCTGTCTATTTGATTGAGGTGGAATCTCATCTCTTCTCTCATTCTGGTTGACCATAAAGGCCTTAAACATCTCCACAGCACTGTTGACTGCATTGAACATCTGACCCACCTCTGGGGATATAGTTGTTTAAGTCGGAGCTGCTGTTGGGGGTGGTGTTGGATCCTGAGGTACTTTCTCATCATGCTCCACCCCTTCTTCATGTTCAACCTGGGGTACTTGAACCCCTCTTGTGGATTTACCCTTCCTTTTCTGAGTTTGAGCCTTTTTAGTTCTGCCTTGAGCCACGATAGTAGCAATAGTTTCTTGAGCAACATCCTCAGTTTCGGTGTTAGAGTTGCGAGTACGAGCCATTTCTGCGAGTTTTGGAGAAACGGATACATTAGATAATTTCTTAGAGACATCTACTGCACGATTTAAAGTATGAGAAAAATGAGACTTTTTCCTAAATGTTGGTAGCCTCCTGTTTATAAGTATGGCGTGCTTCATACACATAAACAAGACTCTATTAACACGGATTCATAGACCCCTAGGACTCCATAAACCTGAGGCTCTAATACCAAGTTTGCCATGACCCATTTCCTGAACAAGCCGAGACCGACACTCGATCACTAAACATGACCGAGTGAACCATCTCTGCTTATCAACCCTATTATAACTCCAAACATTATATGCAACAAAGCAATACTCTAAACAAATACTTTTGGATTAATACAAATATTTAAATAAATCAACTCCAAAGCTTTATTCGTAGTAACTACTGAATTACTGCTAAGTTATTATAAAATAACATCTAAATCTCAACCCAATGACTATGTCTATGAAGCCTCTACTGATAAACTGACGCACTGCTCTGGACATGAGATTTCCTGACCAGTTCTCTAAATAAACAAAGAAATAGCTAAATGAAAATGGCTCTAAGAATACTTCACGAACAAAAGCGGAGCTCACCAATATCACTGGAAGGGAAGGAAGTCCTAACTCGTAGCCTGCTCGCCTGCAAATCCGGTTCCTACGTTGTACCGCAGACCAACGTAGGTTCCCAAAAGAGAACGTCAGTACCATCCACTGTACTCAGTGAGTCTCAACAACAGGGGGAGAAACTTTAATAACATATACATTACGAGCAAAGGTTCTAAATGCATGTAAAACATAAAGCTTATAAGAATAATTCTAAAATAATTGCATAATAGCAATTTATGAATATTCTAAAAGAAATTCTTTTCTTTTTCTTTCTTTAAAAAAAATACTTCACTTTATACTTTGGGAGTTCCAACTATCCTGACTTAATTCTGTCTCAGTCACCGTGTGATCGGCACGGGTTCGATCCCAACCTGATCGAATAGGCCCAATCCACGAGGTGCCACTCGCTTCATGGTTCTCAGCGCTCAAGTATCATACCTTAGCATGGCTAAGTAAATTCTCAGCAACGAGACCCTCGACTCGTATGCTCCCTACTTTGGCACAAGTAGTTTCAGGAAGTCAATGCCTTGGTCAGGACCCTCGGCCTGGACGATGACCCCTTCTCAGAATAAAGGATACTCCCCAAAAATCTTTTCTTTCTAAAACTTCTTCTTGTGACTTTTCAAGTCTAAATCTTTTCTTTATAGAACATTATGTACATGCTCATATTGGTGTCCTTAAATGTAAAGCATGACATAAGAATGAAATAAACATATAAAAATATTTCTAAAGATTCTTTCTTCTTCATAATTTTCAACATGAAAATAACATATAAGAATAACATAAAAATCTGAAAATTTAAGCACATATAGCATAATATATCATCTAAACCTTTGCTAGAAAAATTCTAAATTAATGGGTACTCACTCGCTCTAATTAAATAAAGATAAACTCTTTTAAGCAATTCGTCAAACACCTTGTATGTGTGCTTTTGTGAGTTAAACCACTTTAGTAAAGGGTTATATCAACTCACCTCAAAACTTCTCGAGCCAATACGTAGCCCCAGTCAAATTGACACCAGTCAACCAATCGATTCTACAACAACCAATATATTTTAATCAATTTTAAAGTACTACACCTAAATATAAAATTTATTGTTGATATAGAGGAAGAAGGGAATTAGCTATTCAATTCTTACATATTACTACTTTAGGATAATTGAAAATAGGGAATTTTATATACCTGAATTCAAGAATTAGTGATTTGTAAAGAACCCTAGAATCTTCTGTTGCGCGTGTGATAAATGGAGCCTCTGTTTCGTGAGGAACGATTCTGTTTTTTTTTTTAGCTTTTGCTTTCCGTCCCTTTTGATAACATTCTGCCTCTCTTTTAAGGCTTGGAGGCTATTGTTTCAAATAACCCTTTTTATGGGCTTTTAAGCCTTTTTCCATTTTTTTTTAAAATTACTACTAACTAATGATACCCTTTTTTTTTGAAAATTAATAATATTAAAACTATTGATATTTTCCTAATTGTATATCCAATTATATATATATATAAATAATAATAATAGTAATAAATTAGTTCTATAGTTAGCGTGTCTCGAAACTTTTATAAATTTGGGGGTGTTACAATTTGAATCGTATGCTTAATTGGAATTAAAAACGTGACTGTCTTTTGTTGGATTTAAAAGAATAGTTTGGGAAGATGTGATTTAAAATAACAATTGGATCTAAAAGCTGTGGAATGAGGTAAAACATAAGTTGTTTAATGTTCTGAATTTCTCATTTAGGTAGATCTACTACCAATTTAACGTTAGGAGCATGCTTATGACGACCACACCTGGGTAGGCATTCTTTAGGATTTGTTTGTTCGAGGCGAAAGGTCGTCCCTTTTAGTTAGTTAATTCATCAGGGGAATGCCGAGTAGAGTTTGTATATATATATATATATATATATATTGTGTTCTTTTATCAGTGGTATGCCCCTAAGTGAATGTAATTGAAGGCCGTGACGGACATGGTAGAGTGAGCATAGTATAGGCTGTTATTATTTTCTTGTTTTGTTTAATTTAAGTGGGGACGACCTCGAGCCTCTTGTGTATTTATTTTTCTTTTTCTGTGTTTTTCGCCTCAATTCGACTATTTTAAAAGCCAACATGATCGAGTACGCAACCGTACTAGTTACGGGACTCGGGGAATGCCTAACACCTTCTCCCCGAGTCAAATGAACCCCCTTACCTTAATCTCTGGTGCGGACTTGGTTTTAGAGTCTGAAATGTTTTAAAAGGAATTTTTTTTTTTTAAAAAACGGTGACCTGGCACACCGAAAATAAAGTCAGGTGGCGACTCTGAGTTATTTTCTTTTGAACACAATTTTGTCACTTTTTAATTAAAAGCCTTTTGAGCTTTACAAATCCTTTTATTATTTTTTTTAAGAGGGTTAAGTGATTTTAAAAAAAGAGGGGTGTGACATCTCTGGCAACTCTGCTGGGGACTTGCAGGTTCGAGTTGGTACTTGATCTTGTTGGCTTTTAGGATATTCGGTTGAGGTTTTTGTTTTCTTTATTTGCTTTGTTTGTCTTATTTCCTTGTTTTGTTGGTTATTTGTTTACCGCTTTACTTAATGTGTTACTGTTTTATAAACTGTCATCATTTGCATAACCATGTGTCTTCTTTCTGCAACAAGTATTGGAGTACGCGTCGCATGCATGAACTCTTTGTTGAGTCACCCTTAATTTAGGAGGAGGGGCCGTCGGACGTATGGAGTGGGTGGAAAGCTTGAGCAGCCACCATCGACCATACGCTCCCCCGAATTGCCTTGTTAGTGAATCCCAAACTTAGGTCAGCTTTTAGGTCATTTTTATTTGCATCATGTCATTTGGACCTAGTAGGGCTCAGTCCCAGGCACCGTGTCTCTTTGTAGAAAGCCTATCCAAATTTTTTCAAAATGGGCCCGTGGCCCAAAAAGACATTCAATCATTCCAATGTGATACATGTTGCATCTTTGAGGGTAGAAAGGTCATTTGGCGGACCGATGCTTGGGAAAGAAGGGTGAAAATGAAGCAATTAGGGCCCACTCGTATTTTACTTTCATAGTTTTCCAACAATTCAAAAAAAAATGAAAAATGAAAAATCCAATTTTTTTTTACACTTTTCCATTATTTTCCAAAAATTCATAAAAAATGAAAAAGAAAATCCAAAAAGATTTTATATTTTCCATAATTTTTTTTTAAAAAAGAGAAAAATATATATTTTTCCAAATTAGTGTCATTTCTTAAGCTTTCTCCCATATCCAATCTTCCCGAACTACGCGAACCTGATTCTCGTCTTTTGGGACGTGATACGTAGGCAACCCACTTAAGGTCCGGTCTTCCTAGTGAATCTTAGGTTTTTGGCTTCGCGGGGTCTTAGCCAAATCTTGCATGACTAGCCACTTTTGGCCACATCGGCTATTCTTGCAAAATGGGGTCATTTTCACAAAAGTGGTTCAATAAACCATGTTTTAGGATCTTGAGTCCACAACTAGGTGTCATATTACTTTAAGGTCTGTCCTTGTTGAGTTTGCATCTTTGGCCGCTTCTGGCCATATTGGCCATTTTTGTAAAGTGGGTCATTTCTGCAAATTAATTTCGGGCCATGATTATTGGGAGTATGAATCCATGTAAGCCTTAGTGAGGTATTTCCATATCTGAGTAGTCACCCTTGTTGATTTTGCACTTATAGCTACTCTTGGCCACGTAGGTTAATTTTCAAAAAATAGCTCAATCGTGTCTTGCATGTGTCCAACAGGAGGTGTTGTGGTGTCGCATAGTGTCTTGAGT